CTACTTCACTACATTATTTCGGAGGCTTTTAACAGATGTTGCCAAATAGTTAAAACTGTTTTGCCTTTGACATTTAGATTTATTGTTTTGTTACTTTGTGCAATCGGTTCTTTTTTGTATTTTCTGTGTGTATAATAACATGGTATTATCTATGCTCGAAAGTATCGTATATTTGTTTTGTTCGGCCTTTTTTTAGATGGTATATCCATTCTGTGATCATCAGAAATTAGGCTACCTCCAGTAAATAGCATATCTCAAATTACGCGAAATATATTTTTTATTGGACAACTTCAAAGAATTTTTGTGGATGAGAATTTAACGAATCTGCGTTTTAATCGATATACATTACAATTTCATCACTGCCTTTCATCTGTGGTTTAGTTCTGCAATCGTAATTTGATTTATTGTTTGCTTAAATGAATCCTGTTTTCTCCGCTCAGAGGAAGAATGATATTTTCAAATAAACAAGTATTTGAGGAATCAATGAACATTCAAAAGCATTCTCGAAGTTTTGATTTTTAAATTTGTTAAGCTAGCTATTGTGAATTTTCTAAATAAGTGAGATGTGGTATCCCTGGTTCCACACCAGTACTACTTACAGTTGATTTGAACTATATTTCAAAACAGTGCTTCCTTTTCTTATTTTTCCGATTGCTTGACTTCAAGGTTTAATCATTGCAAGGGAAAGTGCAGAAATACCAGTAGCGGTTTATCATGACCCAGAAATCGGGTTTTAATGTCTTGCATTTCTGCACCAAACGAGCACGTCAAGCAATGTGCTATGAGGCAATCGTGCCCGGACACCCACACTCCGGAATCGATTTATAGATGTCATTTTTTTAAAATGTGGTTCAGCGGTATGCACGGAAATCAGAGATCAGACGCCTTTCCTTGCTAGTCTCTAAACCACCTGCAGCAATAACAACGGAAACCAGCCTGAAACTTTCTCGGTCACCACTGAAATGCAGCCCGGGACGTACAGGTTAGTGAGGCAACGTCATGCTCACCGAGCCACGGTAGCTCCCATCATGGACCAGACAGGTCAGCTTCGATAAATTCTAAATAAATCTAATACACCAAAAGCCAAATTCTGAAATTGCAAGCTCAGATTTACCCATTCTATTACTTGACTGGAAAATGTATGTTTATTAGTCAGACGATGTTCTGTGATTTTGTAATAATGGGTGTCATTTGTTGACGATCAGTAATATTGAAAGCTGATTTATCTAGATATATTTATAGTTTGATGATTAACTAGCTAACTGCTGAAAATAGACAAGACCGGGAGATTTGGTCTTAAAGGTCAATTTGCGCTAAAGAAAAAAAAATCTTTCATTTTGTCTTGCAAAGATTTTGTTGGTTACCTTAAATTGCACAGACATTTTTTATAACATAATCCGCTCTCTCTTAAATATATTATACATAAATCAGCATATCTAAATCATTTCACGACTAAGATATTATGGTATTTCCCTACAGTTTCTCACGTGGATGATGAGATCATTTGGCCTACATTTACCGGCTTTCAGATGTTGAGTCAAAATAGATTTGAAAATAAAATAATTACTTGTTGAATCGCGTTAATTTTGCTTATGAAAGGCATTGTTAATACCGTCTTTGCTACACCAATTCGACAAAGCCTCTAGGGAATGTCTTTAATCTCCCCACACTCTAGGCCATCTTTACTTCTGGACGTAATCTAATATAAACTATTCTATACACTAGGTGGGATAAAGACATGAACATAATTGGACGATGTGAGATTTGAGAAACTTAGTTGTCAGTGAATTAATTAGTGCATAACATTCCAAAATTGATTTTTGACATTTTATTTTATATTGAAAAAGTGGTGAACATTACAATTTCAGAATTGAAATTATCGATGGCAGTAGGGCATAATATTGTACAAAGGGTGCAAGTTGGACTCGATCATCCAGTCTAAACAATCGATATTTCGACCGGGCCTGCCTAGTGGTTCCTTGGTCATTTAAAGTCTGCTTTCCAAAAAGTGATATCACAGACAAGATCGAGGAGAGCCGAAGCATGCTCTTGTATATTAGAATATAATTTTGCAATCTTTTCATTTACGGCATACGGTCATGAGTTGGCTTATTGGAAGGTTCTTCTCTTTATTAATAAAAATAATAATGTTTGGTATTGGATCTTTAGAGGACCTCTCCTCGGGATATCGGTCAATTTATCATGACAATTTTTGACGAGCGTGCGCCAATTGATGACTCATTGTCAAGATGGGTTGCTAAAATAGGACGTTTGTTTATTTTTTGTTGAAAATTTGCATCAGATCAACTTGTTAAATTTATTTTTCTGAATTCTAAATATTTGATAAGATATGCGACAATAGCTATTCAAAAATATTTAAAATATTTGCCCTTTTAGGTCTTGGGCTATAACCAGACCATTTGGCGAACAAATGAACCAGACGGCATTAAATTATTGTTACACGTCATGTCATTATAGATGAGTTATCTGCCATCACTGTCCTAGATAGCATCATTGATTTGCAGACGTGTGAGATTTAAAGTGACAACCAATTTCTTTTTCTTTTTTTTAAAATAGACTGTTTAACACATTTTGAATTCAAAATGATGACACCTTTACTTTAAACAGACATGTTGCACCTAAAACCCTCACATCGTAATTATGTACGGCGGAAACATCCTGATTCCAATTACAATTTGTAGTGTTCGAATCCGGTTGGGGATTTAGGTGACGAGTAGTCTAATGTGTGCGCTGAAGAGTATAAAACCTGTAAACTTTCAAGTTTTGGTTCGATCCAGGATTTGTACGTAACAAGAGTGGGATCACCTGCCTATTCCAGGGGCGGGCATATAAGGTGTCAATTCTCGGTTTATTATTCCTTTTTGCTCACTATTTGACGTAATTGAATTACCATGAGATCTAAATCACCCCATCCCTGCCCCCGACTAAAATGGGTTTTCTTTGGGTACGCCGTGACCTCCACTTCTACTAATTATTGGAATGGTTACCGAGTGAACATTAAATCCCATTCATTTCGAGGTCTCCAGAGCTCTGCGCTAAATATATCTTCCCTATCCCGTTGGTTTACTTGCATGCATACAGTAAATTATATTGTTGTACCTTTTTTTGATCTCTGAAATTATTCAAACCAGTCTCTACAAGCTCCAAAAACTACAGAATACAACAGTTAGAATCATATCTCGAACCAAAATATCATCGAACATTAAGTTACCTGTCCTAAACTCTATAGTGGATGCCAGTTCCCGCAAGCATCAACTATAAGGTCCTTTGCCTCACATACCATTCGGCACTGCCAACAGCATACCAATCAAATCGGTCATTATCGTCCCACATTCGACATTTACACATTTTGGAGACATAGGCTTCAATGCAGTTGCTCCTAAATTGTAGCATGATTTACCTTTTAGAATCCGAGACTGTTAACCTTTGACCACTTTCAAATCACAGCTGAAGACCCACTTATTTCTCGAATGCCGTCAGAATTAGACTTTCCACTAATTGTGTACATAATCATTTTCTCATTGCGCTTGGAAATGAAATGAAATGAAATGGGGTTTAACGTCCTACTGTTCTGCTCTGAATAGGCTAATGAAGACGGGGATACGCCATTCAGTGTGCTACGAGAGAAATTCTGCATCGAGATTGTCGAAAGAATGTCTTGGTCACGAACCAAAATAATGTAACTTAAAAAAGTAAATTGGACTCGGAGAACTTATTAAATAGGTTCTTTATCAAATAGCCCTATTCTATCATCACATGATACATAAAGATCAACATATCTCTTAGTAGGGGTCCGTTTACTATTTATTTCTGGAATGGCTTCCAAATTGGCTAGACCGTTTGTAATAAGTTCACAAAAATATTTTGGTTCCGATATAATGAATGCAGACAAATATTGGGAAGTGAATTTCAAAGTTCATGGCAAAAGCCAGAGGCTGTTTGGGTTTAGATTGTCTGGAATGATTTTAAAAGTTAGTTATGGTTGTAGACTATTTTAATAAGGTTATATTAAGATGTGCTCCTATTCTGGGTTCTATTCCCCATCACGTCTGCTTACCATCTCATCAGAATTCATTGAATCAACAGTCTTTGTATTAAGTAGCGTCTTATATTCCGACGGAGATCAACTGACGAGAAAAAAATAAATCAATATATTTTTCCTTGGTTGTCCTTCGTTTAGTTTATGAGATAATTATAGTTGCTTCACCCCATCCCGCGTCTGAAAAATTGAATATATTTGTAGTGCGATGAGCTATTAATATGAATTTGCGTTGTCACTTTTAGTTAAAGTATTAGAAAATAACCCGTTTTTATATACAAAAATAGAATGACCTTTCCTTATACTTTGGTAACACAGGATTGGTACTTAAACATCAAATGAATGACCATTATAACAAGCTCTGAAAGGTCACATTCTTTTGTCAAGTAGAGTGGGTCATAATTTTTCTTTTTTGATAGCATTGCATAAATATACGCTCCCTTACATCATGAAAACTCACGGGACGGAACCATATGTCATTCTCAGTGGCAATTTGATGAAAACGCAGATCCTATTTCGTTTCGTTTTTTATATTTCAAAATTTCCTTTTACTTATCTTTACGACACTAGGATCTGGAAGAGTTGTTATATAACACACGTTCTGGTTTAACTGAGGGATTAGGCAATGAAACGGTCTGTTACGGCGAGTTCTTGGCGTGCGATGCACGGAACTGATGTCATAGGGTCAAAAGCCGCTGATATGACCCTTGGCGCTACCTACCACTGGAACTGGTCAGATTTTCATGTAGTGTAGGCCATCGAGAGTGAAAAAAACGAAACGAAATATAGATCTGTTTTTTAATCAGATTGTCTCAATGGCAGATTTTTTCTTCCACATGAATCTTTTTTTTTGGGGGGGGGGGGAGGCATTGAGTTGTATGTATTCAAACCTACATTTTGTATTTTGTCACATTTTGAATTTTGTAACTTCTGTTTTCAGTGGTAATCCGTCGATGTCCCAGTGTGAAAAATGTCTGGCTACATAATCCCAGTACGAATGGGACATTTTACTCCACTAATGGTGCAGCTGGCTCTGTCAAATCATGCTATGGCGTCAACAACACATTTGTGCTTCCTGGGAATAAATTTGGTCACCGAGATAAAACCATTCTTTCCTTTTCCATGGGATCCGAAGACCCAGATTTTTTAATGTAAGTATCTCACAGAATAATGAAGAATTTCTAAATTTCTAAATTAGTGATTCCTTAATTTGCTACTGGCATCGCATGGGTGTAACTCATCGTATATTAACAAAATTCCCTTTACTTGTCAATCCTAGTTTTGTAATGGGCCCAATATCAAGAGAGAGAGAGAGAGAGAGAGAGATAGAGAGAGAGAGAGAGAGATAGAGAGGGCGGGTCAACAATGGAACCACATCTAAATATCGAAGAGGAATATTCTTCAGAAATGGGAAGGGTTAAAGCCTCTTATAATACAGAATATTTCATCTTTTCTGTACCACACAAAGTATTTATAACTAATTCAATTAGAGACTGGTGAATTTGTACAAAATCTCCATTTACAACCGTTTGCTTTTATTTTAGCAATGTATCGACGTTCGTGTCTAAATCACACTGTTCTTGTTCATTTATGATAATTACATTATCACCAGAATAATTATCTTAGATTTTGTGATTATTTGCCTCCTTTCTGTGAGTTATTACTGTATAGGTCTCATCTAACCTTAGCGTGACACTTATCTGCAATGGCACTGGCATTAATGTCTCTTTCCTCTAACAATAAGTGCCAGGATATTTACATAACCTCTTAATATACTTTGCGTGATAGCTGTCATATTTATGTTTGGTTGTTAAAGCAACCAAGAAATCATAATAGATTAATGCTTTTATGTTGTCAAACAATTTTGTTATATTATATGAACTTATAAAGGACCCATTTTCAGTTTATTAGGCACATATCACCTCTCATTATACTATATGCGTGATAGCTGTCATATTTACTATAGTAGTCATAGCCAGGACGTTTTATAGATCAATGAATTTTAGTAATTTTTTTTGTCAAACAATTTTGTTTTATTGTATGAATATAATAACGAACCAGTTACAGTTTATTAGGAACATATACTCTCCCATTATGTCTCCTTCTTCTATTATTCTGTTAGTATTTAACGTCTGCTTCCACCGAGGGTGAAATCGCAGACAAGATCTGTTTTTATTATCCTGAAGCAAGCGCAGGTTTCTTTAGTGTGCGAGGAAACCTGGGTACCCTGAGTAAAGGTTGAGAAGGCGCCCCTATCCCCAAGCCACATACCTTTATACCAGGGATCGAAACCACGACTGCAAGCCAGAGCTGACCGGCGACAACCTAGACCACCGCCCCCCCCCCTGCACCCCACCACCCCGCAATATGTATGATAGCAGCTGTCATATTTATACTTCAGTAGTCGAATCTATTAACAGTTTTGCTTATGGCATATGAATTTATAAGGACCCTTTTAACAGTTTATCAGAAAGATGTAATAGAAATAAGGCAACTGGTCTTGGCCGTGATCGTCTCCCGAAGCGCGATAGTCTATCAGTTAACGTCATGAAATGTCAAAACAATACGGGCGATAATCATTTACTTACAATTCTATCTGTATATTTTCGGCAGTATATCATCTGAGACCATATAGCCTTATGGGGTTATCGACGCGATCGAAAAGGACGTGGAAAAACTTAAGATATTTTAGTGCATCTCCTTTTAGGAAGATTAGTGGAAACAGCGCTATATTGACATAATTCACAATTTCCGCATTGCACCCCTGTCCATGGGGTTATCGACGCGATTGAACTGGACGTGGAAAAACTTAAGATATTTTAGTGCATCTCCTTTTAAGAAGATTAGTGGAAACAGCGCTATATGGACATAATTCACAATTTCCGCATTGCACCCCTGTCCATGGGGTTATCGACGCGATTGAACTGGACGTGGAAAAACTTAAGATATTTTAGTGCATCTCCTTTTAAGAAGATTAGTGGAAACAGCGCTATATGGACATAATTCACAATTTCCGCATTGCACCCCTGTCCATGGGGTTATCGACGCGATCGAACTGGACGTGGAAAAACTTAAGATATTTTAGTGCATCTCCTTTTAAGAAGATTAGTGCGGAAACAGCGCTATAGGGACATAATTCACAAATTCCGCATTGCACCCCTGTCCATAGAAGGTTAAACATTACCTTTGAGGTAACTGGTTAAGTGGACACCGCTAAAAGCACACCTATTCTCTGTTTTCACCAACGTTGCCATACTTTGCTTCCAGACGTTGAAATTTACAGCTTTCAGTCTGAGCGATGCGTTGACATAATTTGGAGATTTTAAATTTGCTGGAGCACACTATTTATGTGTTGATGAGACGCTAAACTCCATTCCATTCCATTCTTTATAGCATTGTACCAATAGTAATATCCATGTTAGCCTGATAATGGCGTTGATAGAATAGTCTAGACCTGAAGCCCACTCCATACTCTTGTATTTGTATTACATATGTTTATTATCTAGAGATTTACAACATTCTCCCTGAACAAATTACTGTAAATATTATTGATGTGCTAACGTCTAACGGCTGTTCCCATGGGCTGTGGGCTTCTATTTTGGTGCTAAAATTATTATTTGGGATATTCGGTAAGCTAATGTGAAGATTTTCATCTCATTAGGGAATCATCCATCAGACAGAACTTGCTGCCTTGTTTTATGTAGGCATTTGGTCACAAAGATGAACCCTGCAAGATAATCATTTCTACGGGCGTACTATGGACCTTAAACCGAGCATGACGCCATCGCAAACAAGCGTCACCCCAACAATAACAAAAAGAGTAGCACCTGGGGCTTAGAGCATGTCCAAACGGGTTCGCCATGCAAACATATGATCAAATGTTTTCTATCATAGAACAACTGTTTCTATCATACTGATATACCAAACTACGTCCAATTCAGATTTAAGGGCTGGATAATCGCCTTAAGGATTCGGAGCCCATTTCCGACATATGTCTACATCTAATAGAATTGACCGCGAGTTTATCTTATGGGTTTTGCTTGTTTGAGGTGCGGTCCTCCTGAACTTACTATTAAGCGTGGGATAGAACATTTAAAGGGTGTGCCGACCGAACACTGCGAATTGTGTTATTATTGTACTTTTTGCAATATGTCAGATCACTTAAAGATAGAGATACACCCCTTTAACGGATATCCCAATTTGGCATGGAATATATATCTGAAATATATTCAACACTGTTTCATTTTTATGTGTAGATTGATGATTTGTTTCACTTGCTTGCTTAAATAAGTATATTTCTATTTCATGGCCTCGTGGGTTTTCTCCGGGTCCTCCGGTTTCTCCCACTGCTAAAGACCCCTACGCGCAAGTGAATTATTGAAATAAAGTTGAACCATATCTTAGTTCCCGAATGACCTAGTTTGTGTCGAGTGGACTTTAAACCCCATTTCTCTCCTTCTCCCTCTAGTTCTTGGTTGGTGCAGACGTATTGAGAAAATGCAAGAAATTTGTTTTAATCTTCTGTTCATTTTTTCTTTTTTTTTTAGATTGACATATGACTTAAAAAATCACGATGTTGTCAACAATTTTGCTTATAAAATTGGTGAGTATTATTTCGTTTATTATACAGTGTTAAACGGGGCCATATTTATATAATGTGGATTTTATCGTCTTTATTACATGTATTTTTAAATATTTTTTGTACGCTCCATTCTATTACATTCCCTCGGTAGGTTCCATGAACGTCAAAAGTTGTGATGCAATTTCAGTGTTCACTTAGAAATTCTTCCGCCCCATTAAGTAGTTCCTTGCTCCTTTTGTAGTCTATATTTTGATAACCAAGGCTACAGTCTGGCGGCACCAGGGAAATACTATTTTAACAATCATGTGTTCGTTACCTTATCCCGTTCAGCAAATCTACCGATTATTTCCGAACGGCTTTGTGTTTTGAGCTGAACCTTTCTTAAGCAGCTATTTTTGGCAATTTCTCTGGTCTTTTGGATGACATACGTAAACAAACTTTTATTTCGGAGACCCTGTGAAAACAGGCACTGGTCCTGCAGTATAATACAGTATCTTTCTTTTCAGATTTTAACCAAATCGACGAAGGAAGATCCACACTCTCAAGGCAAAGACGCGAAACAAGTGAAAATAGTGAAACAAAAGGTATATTGATTTATTTGATGGATATGATACAAAATAATAATAATATAGCATAAATCCCAATATGGAGAGGGAAACACGAGATCTCTCTACAAAGAGAATCTGCTACTGGTATTTCAATTTATGGTTTTCATCTCGCAAAAAGACACACACTAGTTCCGATTGTCATTTATCATACTCCTCGCAGTGTTTCGTTTGATTAGAGCTAATCCCACCACTCACTGCTGTAAACAACGGAAATTCTTGTTCTAAATTATGACTGGTCAATAGTCCGATTAACAACCAATAGCTTACTGCGTAACAATACCAAACAGAGCTCCAAATTGGACCAAATATGTTTACATAACGTTACGTCATGACTCACGATTTTATTAGGCCCAATTAACCAGTGCATAGCAGAATATTGCAGAAAAACTAATTGTGTGACAAACAAGGCTATCAACTGTCAACACGATTTTTACTCTATGGATATAATATAAACAATATTGTTTTGAGACGAACAACACTTGCACCGTTTTTAATACCTTAAATCACCGTCCAAAGTTATAGGGAAGACCCCTGATTAAACGAATGGCTGTCGTGTTGCTGTGCTTTTGGATAGATTTGATTGAACGAGAAGAATAGACACACTCCCTCAAAAGCACAAGAATCAGAAGCTAATACAGCAATGGCCAGAGAGGGATTTCTCGGGCCATTGCTCAGGAATATGACGTGCTATTGGCATGCTTCAAATGGGTTCTACACAGCGAACAGTAGCCAACATGCTTAATGTGTCACAGTCTGTGATCAGCAGACTGTGGGGCCGGTACCAACAAACACACAATGCTGATGATAGACCTCGTTCATGTCGTCCTAGAGCCACTACACAAGCCCGGGATCGATACATTCGTACACAGGTCCTGCGAAATCGAGGACAAACGGCCAATCAGCTTTCTGTAAACTTGTACCAAGTTACAGGAATTCGAGTTACTCCCCAAACGATTAGAAATCGGCTACATGCAGCCCATTTGCATGCGCGACGACCGCGTGTTGTGCCTCCATTAACTCGCCAGCACATGGCAAACAGGCGTCAATGGTGTAGATAGCGTAGAAATTGGGGTAATCGTCGATGGGCGCGTTTAATGTTCTCAGATGTGTCCAGATTTACTCTGGATTTCACCGATAGGCGTGCTCGCGTTTGGAGGCTTGTAAATGAGCGTCATGCTAACGTCAGACAGCATGACAGATTCGGGCGTGGGTCTGTTAGGGTGTGGGGAGGAATCACAATGACTGGCAAAACGGACTTGCATATTGTTCAAGGAAGGGTCACTTGTGTGTACTATCCTGGCACCGACAGTTCTGCTCTTTGCTCAACGTGCAGGTCGACGTTTCATCTTTCAAGATGATAATGCCCGTGACCACCGTGAATGACTATCTCTAGCGTCACCATATTGTCCATATGCCTTGGTCAGCCATAAGTCCTGACCTTTCCCCTATAGAGCATGTCTGGGACATGATCGGGAGACGTATTCGTCGACGTCAACGTCAACCGACAGTACTACAAAAATTGGCCGTGGCACTGCAAGAGGAGTGGGTCAGATTGCCCCAAATCGTGATTGGACGGTTAATTAGGAGCATACCACGACGAATTGCTGAATGTCTGAGGAATGGTGGAGCAATTACTCATTATTAAGACAAAAATCAAAAACGTCCATTTACACTTTTGACAGTGTATCTCTTTGCGAGTGAAATGAGGCCGTCGGATAAGCCGCCCATATGAACTGTTCATGTTTAGGCCATTGGCCTGTTATTAACATAGACCGGTTACCTCTAATAAAAACAGCAGTGCATTTCCGCAGTTTTGTATTGTTTCTGAATATCCCCTACTTTTTTGTATTTTGTATCACCGAAAAATGAGCCATTTTGTATTTTATCAACCCTTTCCTTATAATTAGCACAATGGCAGCTAATTATTACGGATGTTTGCCTCCACGACGTTGTTCACTAGACGTACTATCTCCAAACGGAATTTCCCCTGAGATTTAAATAAGTTAAATGTCAACAAATAAAACTCCATCCCCGCGCTCACTGCATACATGTGTGAAATATCTAATCCATCAGAAACTCAGACCAATGGTAATTTGAAATCAATGTGGGCAGTTAATAACATTTGGATTTTCAGACATTATTATACTTGACCAATCTGATTGAAATACAGATCTATATTTCGTTTCGTTTTTTATACTTTCGATGGCCTACACTACATGAAGATCTGACCGGTTGTAAATGGATGTCGCGTCAGAGGTCGTACGAGCGGTTTTTGTCCCTATCACGCCAGACATGACTTAATCAACCGGCGTTGACGTTTATAGTGGTTTACCCACAGTTCCGTGCACAGTACGCCAAGAACTGGTCGTAACAGACCGCTTCATTGGCTAATCCCTCACATAAACCAGAACGCGGCTTATATAACAATTCTTCCAGATCCTAGTGTAGTGAAGACAAGTAAAACGAAATTATTAACAATAAAAAACGAAACGAAGTAGGATCTGTGTTTTTATCAGATTGATACTTAATGTGAGACTTTAAATGCGTTCGGTACAGGATATGTGTCATCATTTAAGCAGAATAATACTTCCCTATTGCCTGAAAATATATTTAGCCACCCGCAACACGAGCCCCGTGAAAACCACCTTTGTTTGTAGACTTTATTCAATCAAACTAATTAAATGGGTGTGAAATCGACTCTTATGTGTCTTTCAGATCAAGGCGGGGGTTTATGATTATATGTCTTAATGTAAACATTATTGCTAGATTTCACGAAGATATAATGATTTTATCGACGGTAATTATCAGTAAATCTAGAACATGGACTCAAGGAGATTTGGGCCATCAACTGTCTGCGGTAAATAATGGCGGCAAATTCTGTATTTACTTAGAATTACAGTTGTCAACAGTCTGTAATATCACGTAATGGAGTTGTTGGAAGTTTCTAATAAGAAATCCGTTTAAAGCCGAATTGCATTTAGTTTAGACTCTGGTTAAAGTATTTTATACAGACATGACCTTCTTGAAATTTTATCTGTCAGTGGGTATTTATGTACGCAAAGTCTCCGCTGTTCGTCTCAATACGTGGTACAAATCTTTGTGAGTTCCCGGTTTCGTAATTCTCCGCTCCTTTTCAAGCATTCTCATTCAATTCAAATTTCATTTATGCTTCATTTTATTTTTATTTGGAACACTTCTACTTATAGTGAATGAATGTTATAACATCAACGCCATTACCATCGGACCACATTAAACTGAGCTACTGTAATCTGATTGGTCGTTTCTTTGAAACTTGGTATGCATGGAAAAAGTTGGAATATATATTCATTATCCCAATAGCTTACTTAACTTCAACCATCAATGCTGTCCTCACATACTACAATCTGATCGCTAGATTCTTTGAAACGCAGTAACCTTTTTCTAGTAAATGTGTTTTTTAATAAAAAACAAAACAAAAAAGAACTTGAACTACATCCCAAAGTAAATCGCCCATTTTTTAGAGTTCTTATAAATGATTTAATAAAACTTAAAGTATACATTTAGCTCTAAAGTCACATACCCCAATTATAACATCAACGCGATCCGCGATAATTATTTGGCCTCCTGCAATCTGATTCATAGATTCTTTGAAACACAATAACTTTAATCTAACAGTTAGATTATGATAAAACTGAGTATATACCATTAAACTGACTTAAGCTAGAACATCAACGCCAATCTCACATATTTAATTGTTATGTTGTAATCTGGATGTTTAATTGTTTGGACACAATACATTTACTCTCAGTGGATGTACGCTGCATCCATTGTAAATGTATCCTTCAGGTGTGAAAGTTCAGCCATAAAGTATTTGGTGGGGAACCAAAGAATTGCTATTTTACTGAAATCTGATATATTTTCTTTGGAACCAGTGTACCTTTTAATACCGCCCCCACCCCACCCCCAACTTCCTCCTAACAAGTCCACTCAAGGATTCGCCATTTAGAGTCCCTAAATTGAATGCCCAGCAAGCCTCATGTGAGATGAAATTATTTTTTCGAAGAAAAAGCTAAAACCTAACTCAAGTAGTTATAATATAGCAGATTGGATTACTTCCGTTGTTTACGTAGTCATTTCATTTGTTAAAAAAAATCTTTACAAACGAATATGGTTTGATAGATCATGCTTACCTATTGGATTATTAAATAGTAAAAACGAACATTTTCCGGTTTTAATGTTTTTTATTTCGCGTGTTATGCCGCAGTGTATTTCACTTAAAAAATAATTCCATCAATACACTGACAATGTGCGTAATAACCAACTTCCTTTTAAAAGATTACATTTGAAAGACAGACTGAAGAGTTATAGAGATATTTGAGAATGTTTTCATATTAATCTGGGTACACTGGGAATAAAATCCTCAGATTCGTGGAGGATAATATGACCCCATCTCCACCAGATCTGATGAATATATATATGTTGATATACGCTGACTTGTATCAATACATTATAGAGGATAATTTGATATTTTGACGATCGCGAGGATATTTTATTGGATTATGCTTCATTTTATTTGGTTATTTTATCTTAGATTATTTTTAAGTTAACCGCTTATACAAACATATTTACGTCTACGTTCTGTGATTTCGAAAACAAGTGGGGTTATTTACATGTAGTGATTGTTGTTTTCACGTTCTCTTAAAAGGTAACGAGAACATAATTCCAATTGATTGCATTGTGTGACGCCGCGATTCTGTACGACAATCCATTAGCGGTAAACCAGGGTTCATAACATATTGACCCAATATTTTAGTTTAGAATACAACCCGTCATTGTGATTTCATTATTATAGTTCAACTCAACTATATGATTGATATTTTACGTCCCCACTGTACGTTGTTGACAGTTATGTAACAAAGAAGCATTTTGATTTTCAACGATTTCGGATGTTACCTTCATAGTTATTGTCCTTGATCATTTTGAAAGTCCTGATCGAGGTTCAAGTGCTAAAGTTATCATCAGATTGACTTCAAATTTATTTCTGCTGCTTAGACCAGTGAGATATTAATCCTTCTTCAATCTGCATGTTCTCTGAATTACCTTATGTCAAGCCAACCATTCACAAAATACAAAACACAAACTGTTGATGCTGAATTTGATATATTTTCAATTTTCAGTTGATAATAGCCTGCTTCCGGTAGGATGTGGAAATGATAGAAGCTGTATAAGGTAGGAAACTCTCGTCCCTAAAATATTCTTGAAATTGTGAAAGAGTATAATGGCGAAACGTTTGGAAAATATCTGCAGTTTCTTACATGTATCATATAGGCAGATCTCGTATAAATTATTTACATTTACCGGTGTCTATTCACGTACACACCACAGACTTTAATTTCAGATGTTGTGCTAATAAATTCAAGCATTTTTATTATTAGTAGTATAGCCTTGTCTTTCAAAAAACATTTGCTCTCTGGATAAAAAAAAGATACGGTTACAATGACCTGTGTTGTTTTGACTACTACCAGTGTTAATTTTGTTTTTCCAGTTACTAATAACTGCTGATAACTCGTGATAACTACTTAAGATTATCCAGACCACCGATTTTATCTGTAACAGTAGTCGTTAAAACATCGTTATACTATGGTGTTCTATTTCGGCCACTTCCGACGCGCGACGCCTTTTTCAATGTTAAACTATAGAGAAAAAAAGCGACGTCAACTTTTTAACACGACGTCGCCCTTCATTCAATGATTATAGACTGTGTCTAGGTTAAGCAGTGCAAACGTGAACGTAATCTTGGATTTTCTCAACGTCGGTCTTAATCTGATAACTTCGGGGTTGCTAATATATTCGTCGTAGGATATCTGTACATTTACATGTTTATACAAACAATAAAATATATAAAACAATTAAATGTATTATGTGTTCTTTATTTCGCTGTACAACAAATATTATTCACCATTCACAGATGCCATCAATTGAAAATACAATGCACCTACTTTCCTTGTGTCCAATATTAATATTACTGTATTGAAGATATAATACCAAGCGGTAAATAAACTGCAAATGATTTCTCCTGGCACATCGCATTTCATCACCAAAACTATAAACAATATCCGTTCAGAAAGAAAAACACTTTTTTCTCTATAGCTTCATATTGAAAAAAGCGACGCGCGCGCGGGAAGTGGCTGAAATAGAACACCATACTATGCGGCTCAGTAGATTTTGGATTCATAGATTGTGAAATATCCGATCTTCCATTGATCTTGGCATGGGGTAATTGATGTAAACATAAATAATTTATTTGGTTCCCATATTGCAGCTAGCAAGCAAAATTTCGTTATTTCAATAAAATTATCCGCGTATAGATAGCGCCATTCAGTAGTACATTGCTATTGTAATTCAGACACTCTGAATGTATTATTACTTTACGACATTAATATTGACAACAAGAGATGAAAAAGGCCACATGTCGATGTTCAGTCTATATCTGATTATGGGTAATGTTCAGCTGGGATATGTCATGATGGAGGATTGCTTTCAGTTCATCTACAATTGTCAGATAATTTAAAAGAAACCGATGTCATGCAAGATACGCCCACATTATGCAAGAGATGGACACAGAACCAGCTATAAAAGCGATTTTATGTACAATCACGGGCCAAAATTCAGGAAGTTACGGTCCGATATGCACGAACATCAAAAGGAACCAAGATCTATGGATATAAACATATATTTTAAGCTTTTAAGCTTCCACAACCTTGATACTACATACTTTACATTATTTGCGTACAAGGAGCAGCCATTTTGTCGGCCAGATTTTCACGAAATTCGAACTCAACCATCATTAGGGTGCAACGGTGATTGGTTTAAGTTAGTTTTTTTTAAATCGCTAGAGGTCTACAAGCTAATAATGTGATTTTTCGTACAATCAAGGGCCATAATCCAGGAAGTTGCTGTCCAATATGCGCGAATATTGACAGGAACCGAGATCGTTGGGTTATAAACATATATTTCGAGTTCCATCAAAATCGAATAAAAATTGTGACCTCTGGAGTGTCCACATGCTAAAAACGTGATTTTTCGTACAATCACGGGCAATGAACCAAGTTTGGTAAAAATCGGATAAAAATTGTAACCTGTAGAGTATCCACAAACAAATTGAGGACGGACAGAGGCAACGCCAATATACGTCCACATGAAAATGTGGGCGTATAAAGATTATATTTAAACTACCCGGGAAATATATATTGGGATGGGGGGAGGGGAATGGGGGGATGGGGGATGGGGATGGTGGGATGGGGATGGGGGGGGGGGAAGATCTATATCTTAGGAGATATTTCAAGATGACACATATTTTACATAAATCAAAATTTAAAGTAGATGTCCTTATCTGATAGAATAGTCTCATCGTGCATCGACGGCAAGCAGTCGAATACAGCTGACAGAACAATGGGCGACAATCTATAATGTTTTTATTTATGGTGCAATTAGTGTGTTTACACATTAAACTTTTGGGTCGAGTATATGGCATATGACCTAATTATACTTTGATGAACTTATCTTTAAATACTCTCTCTTTTCCAGATATGGAGATGCAAAATGTGCCCACATGGAATGTTCGTATTTTGTATCGTATCGTAGAATAGGTTCAACAGATTTAGAGATAGAGATTAGTGGTAAAACTACAGGCTGGGTGGCCGTTGGGTTTTCTTCGGATGACAGAATGGTAGGTTATATGACTTCTCTACATTTCTGCTCCGTATCGCACCTTACGATAAGATTGTACTGCAACGAGCAACTAATGTTTTCCTTTTATTAAAATGAAATGCGAAACGTGGTTCGAATACAGTTTTGCTACCGATGCAAACAGATGGTGTCTGTCGATTGAAAAGGGATAATATAGGGAAGCTGAACTTTTCATGAAAAGTATCCAGCAAACTTTCGGGGGTGGCTCCATCCGTTTTCATCCGCCCCAGAAATGGAAAAAATTGACGAAAATTTGCGAAAACAGAACGGAAAAGAACGAACGTGGGAAGTATGTAGCGGGGATGTTAAATGGATGTTCATCGGATGGAAGTGGATGACAGCTCCGAAGGGGTTAGGCAAACTCCAGACATCCTTCAAACGCTTTGTCCGTTTTGAAAACTTTATATACGAGATGCATACGCTTACAACCTTTCTATTTCCGTGCTACTAACGATGTATAGACGTTCCATGTACCTTATCTTTCCTCCCTCTTTCCGTTTTCAGCTGGAGCGGATGTGAGTTGCGAGGATGCCCGGAGGATCCAGAGAGGATACAGTGGACGTTTAACGGATGATAACGGACATGGAACGTTTGGTGCTCGTATATGTCGCGCATTTACATCGTACACGGCAGAAAGTTCATCCGTTATAAAAGTTTTGAGTAGCTCAAAATTTTTTGCGCGGATGAAATCAAAGTGAACGGATGCTCGATGGATAGAGCGTATGAAACACGTATGCAATGAGTACACAACGGATGCATGGCGTTTTTAAACGGAGGGCACGTCTTTTTCCCCGTTTTACATCCTCTTTGCATCCGTTATAAAAGTTTTGAGTAGCTCAAAACTTTTTGCGCGGATGAAATCAAAGTGAACGGATGCTCGATGGATAGAGCGTATGAAACACGTATGCAATGAGTACACAACGGATGCATGGCGTTTTAAACATCCTCTTTGCATCCGTAAGTGCAGTGGGACCGGGCCTTAAGATCTGTGTTTTAATTAGATTGCTCCAAACATGGATTGACTGTGAAGGAGCCTGCAAGTATGGTAGTCTCGTGGGACCCTAAAGGAGTTTATCTTCTTATGTTGGTTGTGGGGGGGGGGGGGGGAGCCTTTTTTGAATGAATTTGTAAGCAAAGTCCGCTCTGAGGGTTTGATTCCCCGGATATACTCTAGAAAGCAGCATTTACAATCACTTTCGCGTAATAAACCAAGTGGTTTGCTGTCGAAAATGGGGTTTGGAATATTAATTAAGGTTAATTAATGATTAAGGTTCGAACACTCCGTCTCTAAATGACCTAAAGGTCAAGTCTACGAGATTTTTTTTGTACACCAACCGCTCCGGGTGTTGTCAAAAGCTTTTTACGCCAACCGCCCCGAGACGTCAAATTTACACCAACACATGCGTATTCAATATTTTACGATAGATGAGTGATCATGATCGCGGCTATACTGAACTATTTATGCACAAGCGAGCTTGTCTCCTGTCTGCTCATATGGCTATCCAAAAATTCATTTTTCTCAGTAAATACTGAATCAATTTAGATCAAATAAATTTAGTATTTTCTAGAAAGTTAATACAACCAGGATAAATTTTAAAAAAAGAAAATAGAAAGTCATCCAAGTTAACATATGTGTGCTACTTTTATTTTATAAGGGCGGTGGTGATGACGTAGTTGTGTGTAAACGAAAAGGAGAGTACAGTGATGACGTAGAGGCCGACTCCATGTTGAATACGGCACCGTATGCACGACCACAACCTAAGGACACTGAATTTGATTTAATTTCGGTTAAGTACAAGGACGGATTTATCTACTGTAAAATAGTTCGACCTCTGAAAGTGAACATGGAAAATAACCTTGACCTTTATAATGATTGGTATCAACTATACGCTAAAGGCCCAATCACAACAAGTGAGTATAATATGACTTCCGTCATGCTTCAACACTTATACCGTATTTGATTGAAGCTAATCCGACCTTATCCTAATTCGGATTCCTTTCTTTATTTCTGGTCAAATTTAAAATTGATGTCCCATTTTTCACCGTATGGTTAACGTATAATTCAAGGACTACAAACTGTGTACGAAACTTATTTAATATGGCAACTGGAATCTAGTCTCGGATACTGACAAAACACGCTCCACAGGTAATTTTGAGAAATGTAAGGTTTTCTATTATTGACCCAGAAAGTTTTAAGCATTTTCCTATTGTATTCTGGAATAATAACTTCTCAAAATAACAGTTAATATAACCACTGGGATACGCTCAAATGTGCATCCGGGATCATGTTAAATCAGAAGCTAAGTGAATTCTAAACACAATCTTATTAAAACACAGATCTGTTCAAAATTTCATTTTACTTGTCTTCAATACACCATGTTTTGGAGGCTATCGAGAAAATATAATAAAAAACGAAACGAAATATAGATGTGTATTTTAATCAGATTGTTGTAAACCGTATTCTCTGTGGATTTCACCAAACACTGCATTTGTATTCTAATTGAATCATCAGCATCCAAGTTAAACGGATTTTTACGCATTCAATCAGAATAATATGTCCTGCTTAGGACGTTTTTCATCGTTATATGTCATGTTTTCAAAACATAAATGCAATTGTCATTTATTATGTTAGAAAAACGTTTCTATACAATAGGTTATTTCATAGAATAACGTAAAAGTACGTTGACTAAGATTTGATTTATTTCTGCAGTTCCATTGTGACAGTATTATAAAGTTAGCTTTACAATAATAAGACATTTCTAAAAAGGCTTTTTTGATGCGATAGGAACACTTCCGTCTTGAAAAGAAAATCGAAAAATATAATTCACGATGATTATCGATTTGGAATCGCCGCTTTTTATAATTTCAGATAATGTTTGTCACTCTACGGATGTTACTTTAGTTTTCTCAAATTACTTTAGATCTATCTAGGTACGCGGAAGTATCGAAAAATCGTTATTGCATTTCATAGTCTCCTTAAAGCGACAGTGCGAGCAAAAAATTTTGCTTTGAAGTATTCTAGACACCACATATTTCGAACAAAGGATTTAATAGAAGCATTCAGTTTTCTTCTTCTTTGTAGCGCTGATAGTAAATATGCACCCAGTACACTAGACTCCTTTGTTGGCGTTAGCGTGGAAGCCGCGGTGCCTCAGTGAGTAAGAAGCTGGCTCACATCAGAAGGTCTGGCGTGCGATCCCGATGTTGGCTGAGAAAGTGTCCCGGGATTTTCCAGCGTGGTTTCTTCTAGTCAGTAATGCAGTAGTGTCGTCCGGATGGGACGAAAACCGCGGTCCCGTGTACACATTTGCGTGTACGTAAAACAACCCCTAGCAGTTGGAATAGAAATAATAAGAGTAGGTCGTAGCGCCGCTGTCTGGTCCTCAACACTTCCCTCGTAACACACTCTGTGGCGTATGCCCGTCTTCATCGCGTTTAAGTGTTGCTTATTTGTCAGCTTGGAGTTCAATTCATATGGTACAGCTCCCGTTTTTAAAGTTGACTAGAAAGGGAAAATAACCACAATTAATTTGTGTTGTTTCTATCAAACACAACCTTACATAAAGATTGTCGATTGATGAAAGTTTCTAACAAAAACCAATTGGCCAATGCTTAGGAACACCCATTAACAGAGAGAGAAAAAGAAATGGGGTTTAACGTCCACTTGACACAAAAAAGGTAATTTTGTAGGGGTCTTTATCTGTGGGAGGAAACCGGAGGACCCAGAGAAAACCACGAGTTTGGAGAGACGATATTACGTACGACCGGGGAATCGAAACCACGCCGGTTACCTTAATGGCAGATCCTATGATACAGCGCGCACTCGCTAACCATTCGGCCATCCAACCCCCCACATCCATTAATAATTGTTCTTTTTTAAACAATATTTTATTTGTCTCTGAGCAACAGGCATAGTCTATATTAAAACCCTCTCCATAATGGTGACCTTGGTTAACGAACATTTTCTATCATTTGAAGATAAACTAAATGAAAGAAGTTTGGTCCTGCTGGTTTAAGCTGAAAAAAAAGTTGGACAACAAAATATCAATTATCTTTGTACAACCGATTAAACCGCCATTGCTTTTCCCAAGTTTCGCAATCGTCTCCCATGAGAGCTTTTTTTTAAATTGTAAGAATAATTGTTTCTTTTTTTAGCATTTAATTGTCATCTTAAGGGTTACAAAATTATTTTTTGCCGTAAAATAACAACACTTTTCTGATTATCGGACGAACAAGGTTAATCTGTGACCTCGCTTTTAATGGTTTATGTCGCCTCTCGAGACGATTTTGTGAATAAGTAATGACTTGACTCCTTAGGCATTGCTACTGAGTACAAAGAAAACTTAATTATACAATAATTGGTGATGCTGAAAGAAATGGAGAACAATATTTCAACATAAGTCTTTACGATGACCGATCATCTAAATATAGTTGCTATTCACGTTTTCTAGAGTACGCCAAAAGTTATTATCATCCTCTTCGATCCTTAATGACATTAAACATCTTGTCTGGATATGGAATTAAAAAGAAAAAACATCTAATAATGTTTCGTTATCATAAACCAATGAGTTAGGAATACGATTATTCTCGGCAGCATTGTCGTTAGATTGGAGCGTGAGAGGGTTGTAAGTGGATATTGTCATGGTTAGTAAAACTTGCGAATTGAACAAGTATTAGAAATGGTTCCACTACTGATAACTTCCGCTTTGACTCCAGCCGCAGTAGTGGGTGATTCTGGGGACTTTCTTGAGCAGGTTTTGTGATCATTTGGTACAAAAAAATGTCGCTTCGAAAATGTAAAACGCATTATCGCAACGAGAAACTGTTCGGTGGCTATTTTAATGGTTCGTACTTCATAGTTTGTGATAAAAGCAATTTTTGAGGCTATTTCTACTTGCGCAAAGCTTCAATGAATATTGCAGCTAAACAAAAGTATACATTCTTCTCCCCAATCTCATAAAATTATATTACAATTTCCCGCCCTTTATGTGTTCTTCTGATTTTTAAAACCACATCTAACCTACTTCCTATCTGTCAGTGACAATTCTAATTGATCAGTTAATCAGACTCCAGGCCCAAATCTCTAGATTTCACTACAAACCAAGACACAATTTCATCGGTCAGTAAATCCACAGGTTCTGAACATTGACTTTAAAATAAATATGCCAAATGTCTATGTAGCACAACACGAAAACCATAAGTATACGTAATTGCCGTCTGATATCAATCAAAAGAACTCCATCCATAATTACCCTGTTGTCAGCTCTTCCTGTTATTGTACCAATTGAATACTATTCGCTGCGGGCCTAATTTACTATGTACTATAGAAATATCATTAAACTGTGGGGTTTTGGACAAAAATTGGTGAGACATAACACATTGGGTTGTAGACGAAGACGGGTTTAAGAGTGAAGAAAGTTTGAACCGCATTTATAAGGATTGTTAAAAGGGTAGCATTATGACCAAGAAGACAGAGGTATAGAAGTGTTGCATCATATACAAAATTTGTTAGAAAATAAACAATAATGGTAGCATCCTTGACAAAAATGTACTGGCAGCGTGGGGATATGGACACGAGGGGTTGCACCACGGGCATGAACTGTAGGTATATGGACAAGAGTTTGATCATAGATGTAGATTTGTCAATATCACCGCAATATTTGTCGAGAAGGGCTTAATCCACATTATCTATACCTTTTGAGGAAGGAGATAATGGCTATCTCCTCGAATGCCAACTGCGAGACTATCGACATAATGGAGAAAGATCCTTCTCGTACAAAGTCCCATTGCTCTGGAATGAACCTCCGACCAATATCAACTGTTAAATCACATCTTAGAACTCACTTATTCTTACAAGCTTATACAAGATTTATCTATGTCTTGTGATTTGACGTTAAACCCCTTTTCGTTTCATTTCATTTCTTGTGATTTGATAGAGGTTCCATATTTTTAAAAACAATTATTTGGAATAATTTTATCTATATGACTTTATTTATTTCATTATTGTATTATTATTGTTAAGCTTATTCAAACACTTTATAGTGGAATCTGAGCTATATAAAGTATGTAATTATAATAATAATAATAATAATAATAACTACAGCTGTTCTCGAAATAGGTTTGAAAGTTTTTATACAACCCAATCATACTCTTATACATCAATTTCAGCATCTAGTAGATTAAATATGTTTTGCTGTTCTGGTTTTTGTTCAAGAATCTTAAAGAAGAAAAGGATTATTAACATCTGTCCAAAAGTCTCTATCTTATATAGCAAAAACATTTTAGCAAGCAAAATTTCCTGTTTTATTTTTAAAACTCATTGCACATAACCTATATTTACAGACCGATTGTTATTAAAACTTTCACAATAAGCATGAAATGGCTTAGTTAATCGTTTACCATCAACATTTTACCCGATTTCAAAGTGATTGCCATGTAAGATACGCCCAAATTGTTCAAGAGATGGACAGAGAACAAGCTCAATAAAAGAAACGATTTTTTGTACAATCAGGGGACATTATCCAGGAAGTTACGGTCCGATTATGCGCGAATCTACAGGGTCCTAGATCTTCGGGATATAAACATATTTTAAGTTTCATCAAAATCAGATATTACATACGTTAACACTATTTGCGTACAAGGAGCGAGTGGCCATTCTGTCGGGCAGTTTCGATCCGATTTTTACGAAATTCAAACTCAGCCATCATTATGGTGTAACGGTGATATATTTAAGCGGTTTTTAAAATCGGATAGAAATTGATGGTCTACTTGTATTGTGAATTAAAACTGCCGAGGGTTCCTTTTGGTGCATGGCAGTGTGTACACGGGACCGCAATTTTTGTCCCATCTGAACGACTGAACATTGTACCTTGCCACGAGGAACTGTCTCGGGCAATACCGGTAGCGAACCTCCTTGTTAGCGACGCAGCACCTTACTCCCACGGCTCTTTGAAAAAATAAAAGTTAGGTTAGATTTTAAAGAGGCCCAAATGTTCTGAACGACACCTGAAAATTTTCAAACTATGATACAATCGTTTTACTTTAAAACAGTGCCACGGGAGAGCTTTAGTTTTAATGGTATTCAATGAAGACGTCATGTAGACGCAAGACGTGTATTCGATGGCAAACAAATACACACTCAAATGTCTTATTTCCAGTGTAGAAGTCAAAAACACATAGTTTGGTAAACGTCTAAATTAAACATAACCAATATTAAAGTTGCTGTGCCATAATTTATCAAATTAATCTCTTTTTAAAGTTGCACATAACCTTTGTTTATAAACTGATTTTGATAAAACTTTCAGAATATGCACCAAATGGCTCAATTTATCGTTTGTTTTTCACGTTTTACCTGATTTCAAAGTCTTACACCTTTTCTTTTATAATAAATCTAGGTCAAATATCAAAATTCTAAACGCGCCGATCGATTGCGAATGGTGAATGCTTTCCCAAAAATATGACGATATTGAAAATTGGATAAAAATTGTAGGATGAGTAGGGTTTTAAAGACTGACTTATATTTTCAAAATCCTTGTACTTCCGGTGAATTTTAATTTTATGGGATTTCTCTAAAACGTTGACAGCAAATAAGGCAAAATTAAATCGGGAAATTTTTCAAAAATAAAAATGTTACGCTCAGAATTTTCACTGTTTTCACTTTTGAGCTTAAAATTAGGCCATACGCATGCATAACTTGAGAAATACGAACAGCTACAAATTGGTGAAAACCGCATTCAAATTGGTTGAAAAACAAAATAGTTCCCTTTTCGTCGATGACGTCACTTCCTGCTATCATTTTTAAAGTTTTAGTTATTCACTCACGTTTCGAACTAAATACCTTTCGGATAGTATAGAGTTTAATTCTGTAAAATATGTAGTTTTTCCAAAAACGTGACGGAAAAAAATTGGGGAAAAGAGCCGGTCTAAGAGACGAGAATTAACATTAAAGTCAGTGGCTACGTTGAAATGTAGGGCCGACAGTTGCATGTTTAATAGTATGTTACTTCCAGTTTGTGTGTCTCAAGATTTCGAAGGTAAACCTGATACATGCTTTTGAGCAAAGGATTGTCACATGTTGCTCCATCTGTGGTAGAAAGCGTTTACCCCCCCCCCTCCCCGGAAATTTGGGAAAATGTTACAGTGGGTCAAAGAGCATATTCCTAAAGCAATGGCCCGAGAAATCCCTCTCTGGCCATCGCTGGATTATCTTCTGATACTTGCGCTTTTGAGGGAGTGTGTCTATTCTTCCCGTTCAATCAAATCTATCCCCAAGCACAGCAACATGACAGCCCTTCGTTTAATCAGGGGTCTTCCCTAAAACTTTGGACAGTGATTTAAGGTATAAAAACGGCGAAAGTGTTGTTCGTCTCAAAACAGTATTGTTTACATCATATCTGTGTTGATAGCCTCGTTTGTCAGACAATTGGTTTTTCTGCAATATTCTGCTATGCACTGGTTAATTGGGCATAATAAAATCGTGAATCATGACGTAACGTTATGTAAACATATTTGGTCCAATTTGGAGCTCTGTTTAAAGCGTAATGATATTGTTACGCAGATAGCTATTGGCTGTTAATCGGACTATTGGCCAGTAGTGGGATTAGCTCTAATCAAACGAAACACTGCGAGGAATATGGTCAAAGAGACGAGAATTAATATTAGAGTCAATGTCAAAATTACTGATAGACTCTGTCCATGTACAGCAAAAGACAAATTTAGTCTTAAAAGAATGCAAATCTATTTAGTTGCATAGAATTTTTCGTTTCTTTTATTCTATTTTTTATCTCTCTTTTTAGCTGGTGTTATGCTGCAGCATGAAAAAATTCCTCCTACATCACGAAGCAAAATCACAGTATTAATACCAGTTGATATAGTAAACTCCATGGCAACCAAATCAGACTTCTGCTCTTCTGTGACCATGACAGCAATCATCGTGGCATTTTTTGTTTCTTGACCTGCATGACGCCATTCTCGAGTAAACTGATATAATAAGTTCATTGTGGGTGGCCGAGTCCATTTACTAGTTGAAGGGGTGTTTTAGAGAAATATGTACGATTTTCATTATTGTATGCTTTTGGTTGTGATTGGGCGAGCTTATCTTTCCATTCTGCATTTTTATTGTATGGGGGGAACATGCCCGATTGTGTTCTTCTTGTGGTATACTAGCGTATATATTCTACTTAATTTTACCATTCCATATAGAAAGTTTTACTTCATGGTTATTTGTTGATAGTGTAATGCATGGAATTTAGAATCATAACTCTTATTATATATTAGATACTTGAGGAGCTGGGCTGCAAGTTTAAATATGGATGAAAGCATGGTTTAGTGGCAACTTCTGTTCTTTTAACCCTTTTCATGTCAGTTTGTTAGAAATATAATGAACGGGTTTATTTTAACTCGTTAACAATCTCCCCTATTTGACTGTGGGGTTTATTTGTAAAAAGTCGTAGTGATTTCACTGGTAATTTTATTACTACTTCCTGAAAATAATGGTAACAAGTAGATATCTACAACATGGTATCATTCTGGGTTTACCAACAACATAATGTTCACGTTTCAAGTTCGCAATGGACTTCGATTCTACGGTGGATGGTAAGGGGTAGGGTCGCATGAATTTTCCAGTTTCCTTCGACACGTAAACGGAAATAATATAACATGACATTACTAGTCTCGAAATTATATATTTGGGTTGACTGTACGAAGATACAATTTAACTCTGTTCAAAGTCCGAAGTGTCTGACTCTTTCCTTGGCATTTTTGGTGAATATGGTGGTAGTTGACGACTATAAATATAACGCACGATTTTCAGAAAGATTCCGACCCAAGTATACCTTATATTATACTATCCTTCAAAAAACGGGATCATTTACGCGTCTCTACGACCTTTCTACCAAAAGTTGCGTACAATAGAATTAAGACATTTTGGCCCTAACTTTCTTAACATACCACAAAGATCTGGAGTATGTATGCCAGCCGATAAAAAACATGACTTTATCACTTTAACTCTCCCCTCGCGACAGCCGCCATCCCTTAAAAAACTTCAATAGTCTGGAAAACTGACCGACCAAAGCGAGTCTTTATCTCTCCTGGTCACAGCCACCAACCGCCAAAAATACACATACGTAAGACCAGGGAAAGAATCAATCATATTGAACTAAATGAAACTACCATTTGTTATTAGAATTTCTCACTTTATATTTATTTGTTGCGTTTCACGTGAACACGTCAGTAGTCTTATTGCACCTTTCTTGTATGTTTCTATGGTAATGAGAGAACTTATGGTGTTATCTATTCTACATAATGTTTGTATGCATTGTATATATTTGTATGTTGTTCATGTGATTTTTTTACACCTAAATATTTATGTATTTTTTCAATTAACATGATCGATCTCTTCCGAACATAACTTTCATTCACAACTTTTTATCATGCAGATGACATCAGACTTGATTTTCCCCAGTTACTCTTATACAAATAGTATATGCCTTCTTTAGATACATTTACTGTACTAACAATAGGATTTATTTTGTTCCAGCAAAGAACCTTCCTAATTGCCAGAATTGTAGTGCTGTTACGGTTCTGTCAGTCCCAATATGGAGGGCGTGGTTTTAGTAGGACTATAACATAATTAAACACGTGGAACGGGTTTTAGCTATGGTGATTGGTCAAAATAGTATCATATTCACTTGGTGCATGCCATATCGCTAGTAATTCTTGTGTATACTCGATTGACACTTTTCTTCGCAGTTTTGAGTCTTGACGAATTCATTTCCGGAACGTTCAATCGAGTGATCCCTCAGATATTTCCCATAAAATCTGAATTTGTACTCCTGATCTTTAAAATGACTAGATCTCTTTGATTTGGGAAAAAATAGTCGATTAGAATGTTAATTTGTTTTGGGAATCTGTCTCCATTTAAAATTTAAAGTCCACAGATACACCCACTGTTAATTAGTTAACAAACCTACAACCCGCTTCATATTTCCAAACGAAAATTGCAAGATCTTGAACTTGTCTCATACATAATCAATACTTCAGATCAGTCTAATTCAACACTTTAAGTCCGGTTGGCCTATTCTGGTCTAAACGGTATAATTATAATGCGTAATTTTAAACTTGGGTGTGCCTTTTACTTTTGTAAAGTAATTTCAAATGTTATTAAATGTTACTCTGCCATTTTCTTGTCGGTATAATAAAAATAAATCTTAATATTTGTTTGTTAATATAACTTTTATTGCTACAACATCACATCTTATTAACACGTTCTACAGTATTATATTTAATTGAGACTGTCTTTAATATTAATGGTTCTAATCGTTTTCATTTCCTATCGTAAGTACAAGTACTGTACTGTGGTACCGGGGTGGACTGTACCGTCAAGATATGGTCGATATTCTGGCTTTTACGATTGGTTGCTTTTTTTATTTTTAACAGTTAACAGTTACTATAAGACTAGATGTAAACTATATAATATGCGCCTAGTTCAGATAGTTCCTTTGCCCGGGAATTGGTTGCAGCGGCCTAGGTCTGTCTACAGAAATAGATGAGGAACATGGATCGAATGTTATAAAAAGAAGCGACATTAGAATCTGGCGACCAATCTATTTAACACTATACCTTACCTGGGTTTACCTGGCGTAACCCGGGTGTTTTATAAAATAGCAATTATATTGTATTTTAAATACATGACATAAGTTGCAACACAGGCGGCAATTTCTCTCCATATACGTACCGGGACCGGGAGACTTGAAATAAACAATATTAGTAATTTATTTTTTAAGGAAATGGTCGATCTTTTTCTATATTCAAGAAATTTAATTATAGATATCAATAATAACAGAAACTCGAAACAACATATTTAAGCACTTTCTAAATACTTCCGTTGGCCACATTCAATGAAAGATTGTGATCGCGTAGACACTGCTGGGTCATAGCTTTAGGAAGAGTAGAAATAGATGAAATAAAATGGGGTTTTACGTCCTACTGTTCTGCCCCAAATGGGCTAATGGAGACGGAAGTAGAAATACGATCAACAGTTAATTTCAACACATAATAATCACATCTGACCGATTTACTAAAAAAAAACATCGCGACTTTTCGCCGTATCGAAAGAGTTGGGCGTATTGATGATGTCAGTGGGGGGGGGGGGGGGGCGAATGATTAGCACGCGCGCGCTGTATCATACGGTCTGTCATTGAGTCAACTGGCGGGGTTTCGACTCCCCGGTTGTACGTGACAAGGAGTAGGGTCGCCTGTCCAACCTCGTGGGTTTTCTCCGGGTCCTCCGGTTTCCTCCCACTGCTAAAGACCCCTACGCGCAAGCGAATTATTGAAATAAAGTTGAACCATGTGTTAGTCCCGAAATGACCTAGTTTGTGTCGAGTGGACGTTAAACCCATCTCTATCTATCTCTCTCTCTCTCTCTCTCTCTCTCTCTGATGATGTCACTAAAAACGTATACTCAATTAAATTTAGCACTCGAATGACCGCGCCTAAAATTTTCCAGTAAGTTTATCTGAGTAACCATGTTAAATCATAGGAAAACGGTATACCTCTTTATATTATATTGCATTCAATTACAATGTCTGTGTATCCATGTGCCAAAGTTCCTTTGTGCAAACACACACCCATCAGCCACCCTCCAAATATTCACTGCCACAAACTTATTCCGTCTATTTAAATAATTTTGCAAATCAAACAACTAGTATATGGTTTATGGCTCATATACCACCTGATTTGCAAAATTATGAAGGAATAAAAGCAATCAATTCGTTCCTCTTTGTTTCGTCTGAGACAGACGATAATTCAATAAAAGAATAATTTATTAGATACAACATCAATATACGCTAGAAGTATGATGAGTGGATTAAGACTGATATGGTTAATATCTGATTTCAACTGGTAATACCAGAACCAGTGACAGGTGGAATTTTGGAGGTCTATGGTGGTTAAATTAAAATTAGATTATAATATCATTCCGTTTATATATAGTTGTGAGAAAAGGAGAAGTGGTACAGGTATCATGTACAACACACCTTACATCTCTTTAGCTAATTGATCGAGATTGTGGACTTAGATGTTAAATACATAAGTTCATGGAAAAACGTTACTCAGGGCCAACATCTTACATCGGAGTTACCTGCGGTTTTTATTTTTAGTTGTTAGCTCAGCCAACACTCCGTTTGCTGTCTTGATTGTCAACATAATTGTGGTGTTTTCACTTAGGAATTACAACAATAATCGTGAATACGGTGTATTTTCAAGACGGAAACTAGAAATTACCATAAATACTGCCTACCGAGAACGCGGTATCAGTATATAGTGTGTAAATGCGGCAACTGGACCAATGACTGCTGATGGTTAATGGTGACCTTTCTGCTTCTAAAATTCTTATAGGCTAAGTTTTGCCTGCTGTATGAAATGAAACGCGGTTTCACGTCCTATTTTACTGATCCGACTGGGCTAATGAAGACGGCTTATTGTGCTATGAGGGAAATTTTGCCCGGACAGCGGCACTACGTCCTACACTTATATCGAATTCCAACTACCAAGGGATCATCTTCGTGCACGCCAACGTGAACGCAGCACCTCGGGTTTCATCCCATCAGAACAACTGGGCACTGTCCTTTTAGACCCTACACCACAAGGCAATTGCTTGCAATCCATTTCTGTACCACCTCGTTGACTTGATTTGATAGAACACTGTGACTCGGGATTTATTTACATTTTTATCTTCAATCTGTTTTCACACGATACATTTTTTGAGATGTTCATTTGACCTCTGACATCGTCAATCCACTTGTTCATGGTTTAGGCACGTTCAAATCAGACCAAAATAAAACTCAAGCCCCCTTAAGTACTAGTAATGTTGTGTGATCAAAAATCCATTACCCAGTGTAAGCCAAATGAACTTCGGAAAACGGTTGCTATGATACACCGAGTACAACATGCCTCGGGCTTAACTGTATCCAATCAAATTCCTTAATACTAACATGTCTGCTAATGGCACGTGATTATAACTTGTAGACTGTGGATCTATTTCTTGTAGAAAACCTGCTTACCTAAGGCGAATTAATATTTTAAAAAGACGATATTTCAAATAATAATTATCCTCCAAGAATCATCTAGGAACTACTGTCAACTTGATTAATTAGTGTAATGTTGTTGAAAAACTCCCTTCTCGAAAACGGACTATCTCTTTAAACAGTAAAACAGCTTTGCGAGCCTTCTACAGTTGTACCACGTGTTCTTGAATGATATCATGTGTCGTGTATGCCAACTGTCACTATAACTAAATGGAGTGACAGTTTGGAAGAAACCATTGGGTAGAGATAAGTTTTTACTTCATATTACCTGGTTTGTCCAATTTACTCCCACCACAACATCATTGGTGAAGCCACTGCAAACCGATATACCTCGCTTACCCCTTATCAATACACAACGAACAAAACCAGTACGTTTTCGTTTGCATGAGCAGCTCTAGAATAGTTCGGCTGGAATAAATTGTAATTGTAATTTAATTCTTTTTGAAAGTATTGGCGAGAAATCTAAGAAAATGGAAGAAAACAATATAAATAAGATTATGTTGGGTTTTTTTTAAATATCAGATTGGCTGATACAATTTGGCTTGTAATTCTTTGTAATTATTGGAATGTCTTTTTGATTCTTTCATCCATCGATCATTTGCTCGGATTACTTATTTCTTTTTAAGTTTGCTCGGATTACTTATTTCTTTTTAAGTTTAAAAACAAAAATCTAAGTCTCATTTTGGCACAATCGGAAATGTATTCCAATCGAATTCATCTTAAGGTTTAATGACCAGCAATATTGACTGTATCATGACGGTACATTCCCCGTAGAACACGTAGCTCTATCTCAACACGGCACCCTCTTTTCTATGTCTTGTAGAACACGTAGTTTTATCTCAACACGACACCATCCTCGCTATTTCTGGTAGAACACGTAGATCTATCTAATTCAATATGTCGTAATACCAAACTCCATCTGGGCATATTTTAGTATTTTAACCCTTTCCATACATATTGTGATAAACATTACGATTTTAAACAAGATAGCGATTCAATATATACGGTATAACTTCTGATATCCAATATTTAAGACAAATTATAAACATTTTAATTGGTACACGAATCGTGTACCATAATGCCTTTTAGAGCCATGTGTAACAAGGGACTCGAAGAACGAGTCTAAACATACTCCACAAGTCCTGTCAAAAGGTGACGCTATAGTCTTATCTCGAAGGCATACGCAATAAATACTATCGGTATAGATTGGAATAACCAGACGCTAGAGATTGCCATTCAATTGAGACCTCCGGCGTATTTCGCCGAACATAACTGATTAGAAATGTGAGTAAAAACAGAAACGATTGAACGTAAATAAGTTTATATACATTCATATATATTATCTTATTATATGCGTTGCGACACATTTGTTTCGATTTCCAGGTCCCAAATATTGGCGATTTAGCTCCTTTAAATACGTAAACACATAACAGTCAAATAAAAAATAAATGTACTATAAATCATATCAAAGTAGCTTTGTAAAAAAACGAGAAAAAGTTTTAACAACACTTGCATATATGACTTAACTGTGTTATGTATAAAATTGCTTGCTATAAGCATAGGCGTACGAGCCAGGGGGGTAGGGGGGGGGGCAGCTGCCCCCCTAACTTTCGGGCAAGCTGACATTTCGGGCAGACGGGTAAAGTGGAAAAAAAAATTATTTCATCTACTTGGCAAAATAAAGTGCCCGAAATCTAATAAAACACTAATTTTACGGGCTGGAATAGCAGTAAAACGCGTTTACGGCCGTCAAATATTCCAAAATTTTCTTGGGGGGTCCATATAAGGT